TTCTATCGACAACGCAATTTTCAGTCACGCAAAATTATAAACATATTTCGCGCGTCCTCGAGTTCTGTTAACTTTCATTCCCAGTTTTCTCTAAATACTGCTCGACTCACAGGTTTATGACCGGTTTATATCCGTCGGAGCGCAGCCGTTTAGCCAATCGAATGGCGTATCGACCGGTTTACTCTCATTGAGAAAACTCTGACCACCGGTTTACTCATAATTGCGGGCGGTTATGTGTGATTCATGCGATGTTTCAGTCCACGACCCACGACGATACATTAGCAGATTATTTGTCTAGTATTACAACATTTCGTAAGAGGAAACCAACGCGATAAGTCCCTAATTAATTAAATGCTTATTATGTAGGTGGGTCTAAATACGCTCGATAACCAGAATCAAATTTCAATAAGAGTTTTTAAATGGCGTAATAGTTAGACAACATCAAGTTTATGAAACAGAATATTCTTTAAATTAGTTATATTTTTCTTTCTTTGGAAAATCTGACAGCTTTATATAAACCTGTCAAACCTGTCTGAATCCGCCCCTGCTAGAGCTGCGCTCTCGTGTTTTATATCTGATGAAGCACTCCTGATCGCGTTTTAAATACACACCACACAGTCCGCACTCACTGACACTGTACAGTTGTGGTCTTGTGATAGTTTAAAGTAATGTTTGTGGTCTTTTATAGTGATCGTTGTAGTGTGTAATTAAAAATCTGTGTGCTCTTAAAATAACTATTGGCTGATATTGTGGTCTAGTGAAAAGGTTCCCAAAATTGGTACATGTTTCCATACTATTGTCGTTCTGATGTCACATATATTAGAGTAACGGTAGGATAGAAAGATTAAAAAAAATAGTTTATGGTTAGATTCTCATGTTTCGCGCACAATAAAGCTAGGGTTAGAAATAAGGATTTATTCATATTTACAATAAAATGACGTCACAACGATTAAGATAATGTTGGGCTTACAGTTACGATGGGTTAGGAGCTTTAATACGAGATTGTATTTAATAAGTTGTTAATGTGGAAAGGTGAGGCAGTTTTTTATATATCGTCAAAATTAAGGAGCAAGTCAGCATACTACTGATAAGTATACTAGTATATATTTATTCTCAGCTTGCGTGTCTCACAATCTCCTCAGTAATGACGTAATGTATATTATATACATTGTCCATGTACGGCATTGTTCTGAATATCTCTATTTATATAGCCTTGGAATGACGGTGTTCACAGTTCACTGCACTGTCACTGACTTGGATAACCAAGAACAGGACGAAAACTGAAAAATAGTGTGTGCGGCGAATCCTGTTTTTTTGTTATTTCTGCACCACTTAGCTTAATAATTAAACAAAACCAAGTAGCTTGGTTGCACTTGCACAACGATCTAGAAAATTCTTGGTCCCACGCACGCAAGTATGATCGCACGCAATCCAAATACCCACGCAATTTGTGACTGGTCATGTTGTTGTGAGTTAGATAGATAGATAGATAGATAGATCAACTTTATTTAAACAGCAAAAGCTGATTTCCAAAAGGGATGTGTACTTACAAATTATTATTTATATACTAGCTCTAATATTACATACATAACAAATACAATTATATACCTATTTAGACAAAAAATTAACTACTACTTTAAGTCGAGATTAAGGTCGAGGAAGATAGCTTTTTACAGAACGAATTATACGATACCGAACTGCGTATCTCTTCAGGTATCTGATTCCATAGTTTAGCCCCACTATATTGGAAGCTTTTTTTTAAGGATTCCGTTTTTGGTCTTGGAATATAAAACCTTGTTGAAGAACCTCTCAGATTATGGTCATGAATGGTATTCAGATTTTGGAAAGCTTCGCATAGTCGTTGGGGGGCTAAACCATTAACTGTCTTGTACATGAGCCTGGCTTTCATTTGTGCCCTACGCTCTTCAAGTGTTACCCAGCCTAGAGATTTTCGTGCCAAAATAAACTGACCATGTTCATTTTTTAAGTTCATGATCAACCTAGCCGCTCTGTTTTGGAATTTCTGTAGACGTTCGCTTAGGCCTTTATTAAGTGTATCCCATACTTCACAGCAATAATCAAAATAAGGTTGGATTAAGGCATTATAAACTTTTATCAAAATGTCTTGTTCGACATACTCCCTCATTTTTCTAATAGCCCCAATACCTGATGATATTTTACTGCTAATATGGTTAATGTGTTTTTCCCAACTCAAGTTTTCGTCTAATTCAACTCCAAGAGCTTTGGTATTTTTAATTTTTTTAATCAATTGATTATTTATTTTAACTCCTTGATGGGTATCAATATTACTTATTTTATGTCGTGTTCCAATTAAAACATACTCGGTTTTCGCTATATTTAGACTTAGTTTATTTGCACAAAGCCATTTCTGAACATTCCTCATGTCTACGCTCGCCCTCTCTTCCGCCTCACTAATTGTTCTGCCAACTGCCGTTAAGTTAGTATCATCAGCAAACATTCTTGGAGTTGTGCGTTCTAGGCAGCTTGGCAAATCATTTATATACATAATAAATAAGAGAGGGCCGAGTATACTTCCCTGAAGAATGCCACAAATGATTTCTTTCTCCACAGAGAGTATACTGGCCAATTGACAACTTTGAGTTCGGTGCGTCAAATAGCAACGTAAAAGATTTAATGCTTTCGTTTGGAAACCATACATTTCAAACTTACTTAACAGTATTTCGTGGTCGACTGTATCGAATGCTTTTTTTAGGTCAAAAAAAACAACTAAGTTATACAGCCCACGGTCCATGTTGGTATACCATTCGTTCGTACAATCCAATAATGTAGTAGTTGTGGAATGATAAGGTCTGAAACCAAATTGGTGTTTTGAGAAAAGATTATTCTGGTTAAGATACTCATACATTTGATCATACATAATTCTTTCCATAAGTTTACTTACTACAGGAAGGATTGATATTGTATTTTCTAAATTCAGATATTCTCACATGGGACATATACTTTAGTATCGTTGTATTGTTTACAAATTAAAATATTAAATTGATTTAATTTCATAAACTTAAAGAATTCCTTGGGAATTCTTAAGGATTTCCTTTAAAATTCCGTGATAATACATGTGATTGTCTATAGTAAGGAAATGTTAAAGGAACTTCAGAGGAAATTTTAGAATTTAGAATTTAGATAGTTGCAATCATGGGTGAGCACATATTTTGTGAAACTGTTTCAAAATAAAATTGCATTTTAATTAATAAAGAAATGCAAGAATGTGAAAGAAACCAAATTATATACAGTGAAACTTTAAAGTGGGAAAGAGATAGGGTGGTGAAATACGGTTAGTGTTCTAAAATATTGAAATATATGCTGTACAGGTTTTATGTCAGTGCACGGTTAAAGATGCGTTATACAGTCCGTATGTAAACAAAGGCTTTGTTTACATTTCGGTATCCAAAATATTGAATTTTATTCGACAACTATTTATATTTTCATGATTCTGGAGTATAATAATATATAATTTGGTTCCTAAAACTAATAATATCACACATTTTTTTTATTACAGCGTGCGCTAAAATTGTTTTGTTTACGTTTTAAATTATAGATGCGGAACGGAAAATTTCACGCGTTTCCATATAGTTATTAAGAGGAGATTTTTTTGTATGTTACGTAACACGCGCTCAAATTAAACTAATGCGTATAATATACCACTTGAGGTTATGACTAAATTCAAAATTTTTATTTTTCGATACGTTTCTCAATCGGCAAACAAACTTAAAAAGTATGTTTAGTGTTTTATCTGTAAAATAATGCTAAAATGAAGAGATTTTAGATGATACGCCAAAGAGAAAATGATGTCTGAAGTTCGGTAAGTTTTGCTTATATGGCTGTAAATATGGCGTCAATTTTAAAGCATCATTGATAATTGTATTTTAATTGACAATTTTTAACTATTATTTTATCTAGTTTCTCAACTGGCAGATGCATTTGAAAAGGTTACTAACTCTATAAACTAGAGAATAAAGCTAAAACAAAGTAATTTTGAGAGGAACGCCAAAAAGATTTTAGGTTTTGAACACTTTTCATCGCAAATACGTGACATTGAAAAAAATTGCCTCTTAAATATTAGAAACACGCTTCTCGACAAATCAAAATCAGGGTTTGCCTTGTTGTGACTTCGAGTACGTTTGCCAATCCCTTATCTAACTCGCCTTTTCTTGTTTGTAGTGTTTTATTATTATAACGCTCGCGTACTATAAATGTTATATTATAAATGCATTTTAAAACTTATTAACAATTCATGAGGAAAAGACAAAATAAATCAATTTTCCGTGCGGTGGTTTTATATGTGATAAAAAATCATGTTCATTTATATATACTTTTCTCGGCTTTATAGACGTACGTTTATTTTTAAAGTTGCTAACTTCGCCAATGAACTCATACGATTGGTCGTTTTTAAGCCATTTATAGACACGCGCAGTTTGTGCCTTATCAGATATAAAATTCTTTAGGAAATTTCCGTAATCATATATGGAGGTAGTGGAGCTCGCAATCATCTAAATCACAAACTGCTAGTTTTTGGTCGCTTTGTGGTCTTTAGACACCCATACCGACCTCTGTTCGAAGAATGGTTGTATGGCAGCCTCCACAAAAATGCACTTAAATTCTTCCGTCAGGGATCCCAGGAGTGAAGGGCAGAGGGTCTACATGCCTTGTATAGCCCCTCCTTTAAGGATGGGTCCCTGTAAAGGAACCCTATATTAAATACACTACTGCTATAGGAGGCCTATAGCTCCGAGGGAAAATTTGGTTTTATCGCTGCAAAATCCCTTAGCGAGCCTTACTTTTTCTTCAGATTAAGAATTTCCATTACTCCAGAAAGATTTGGCCCCTTTCTTCTGGAGGGGTATTGTACATCCCAGACGCCCAAACCGTGCCCGTCCCTTGATTTGATGCAAGTCATTGCAAGTTTTAACTCCTGAGACATGAAAAGAGGCGATGGATAATTGAATGAAGAAATACCGAATGCGAGTTACACAATGAATGTAATGCTGTTTTTTGTAGTACACTACTGAAGCAAGTCTATAATTATATTTCGCCTTCTTTAGTATACATTTTAACAATTGATTCTATTGCTTAGTTTTTCTAGTGCATGCCATTCGTTGCTTGTGCCCTATTTTTGACTATTTTTCAAGTTTAAAGTTACGATGCTGATCGGTCTGTGAAGAAACTGAGCATCCCGTGCAGAAGAGTACTATAACTGCATGAAATAAGTGAGGAGTACAATTATATGGTATAAGATTACATGACATTTTGCCAGAATAGGAGAATTAACCCAACGAAGAATAAAAAAAGAGCATTGTGATTCAACTGAATTCCATCACATTTGGAATCATTGGGTTTGCATGTGTTGTTGGCCATGTGTGTTGTGGTTGCAGTTGACATCGCTGACATAGTTGTGCTCGTGTTGCCTGTGTTTGTTGTTGCCGCAGTTGACATAGTTGTGTCCGTGCTTTTAGAGCTAGTTTCTTGATGCGTACTAGCCACTGATGGTTGAGTTGTGGAACCTTGTGTTTGTTCCGTGGTTGCAGACGATTGGGTTGATTGGGTTGGCTGCATTTCCTAGAAGAATAGATTGAGTAATAGAATTTCTTAACTATTGCCCCCCAATTACACACAAAATAATAAAATACTACTTATAAATACCTGGCATTTGGGCAAGTACGTCATGTATATTTATTAAAGCTTGCACTTCGTGAAAGCTTGTACATGTCGGCTGTAAAATACTCAAGAAGTAGCGCAGGTGCTGTTGTAGCTTCCGTAAGTTTCATTCTGTTCATATCAACATGCTGCATATCATTCTCACAAATTTGTTGTTTTCGTTTTCGGAATTCCGTATTTTGTCACAAACTCGGCGCAAAACATTTCTTACTAAAATACAGCAGAGCAAATTGGCGCATTTATCGAACTTTGAATCGCTATATATCTTTGCAGTGAATAATCACGCATAGGTGATTTGATGATTTTATTTAGAAGAACATATTATAGAAATAATATACTGTAGTCTTTTTAAATGTGCAATTATTCACGGCAAAGATATAACAATTCAAAATTCGACAAATTCGCTAATTTGGTCTATTTTTAGTAACAAAATGGTTGATTTTTTAAAATATTTGCAGTGAATAATCGTATATTTAAACAAACTTCAGATTTGAGATTCCTATAGTACCTTTTCAAAATAAAACCATAAAATTTGTGAGAATGATATATTCTATGTTAATGTAAAAAATTGTACAAGGAGGATGAATACCTGCGTTTCTTGTGTATTTTATGGCCGGCGCGCATGACCGTTACCCAACGCAAATGGGGGTACTGCCAGTGCTGTAGAAGTGGGGGGTCGCTTGCGGGCGGAGCACCCTTCTTCAAGTTATTGGGGGGGGGGCTGATCCCCCCTTCTACTTTAGAAAATCGAGAATTTATTAAGAACACTATTAAACAAAACTTGACTACTTTTTCATGAAGGAGAATCAAAATTACTAAAATAGCGTCCTTAATAAATCGATACTTTATCTTGTTTCAATATTTCATATAATTATGCATTTATACTGTGTATTTTCGAATATTTATGACGTCATCAAGGACCGCGGAGCAGGGGGACCTGGAGGGCTTTAGTCTCCCCCCCCCTCCCCCCAGGATCTCTTTTGCAATCTCAACATAATTTTGATTTTAAAAAACTTCAGCAGGATTAATCAGTTTGGACTATCATAGACTTTTTAAAATACGTTAATTTATTCCTTGCACATAATTATGTAGATTAGTTCAGCTACATTAGTACACTGGACAGGTGTTTGTTTCATTTATTATTTTCTTGTTATGTATTAGTGGGCTCGCACTTTCCAGAAAAGCATTTCTAAGAAAAGTAGGGATGATAAGTATGGAAAATGCAAATTACGCTTAAATACATACGGCATTAAATTTCGAAGAAAAAATCTATTCAATGAAAATGTACTAAGCGAATAAATTTTACCCCTATATAATGGCTTGCTTAAGAGTCATTGAAGAAACATTTTTAAGCGAAACTAGAAGGTTTTATTGCAATTCCGGAGCTTAGAGAGGTCTCAGATTTAAAAATTTTCCGGACCCCCCCCAAGAAGGCTCATACTTTGGCGTTCGCCACCCCCTCCCCCGATCAAAAAATGCCTACGCGGTCCCTGGTCATCGTATGACGTCACATATCTTTTACGATTTCACGGCTTCATGCTCGATTTCACGGCTTCATGCTGGTAAATTTAGTTATACAGCACTGGGTACTGCATGCGGTAGGTTTAATAATAGACATACACGAAGTAAGTTCTGGTAGTTGAAAAGTATATGTTTCAAGGAGCTCATTGATTCTCTGTAAAAATGTTTTTAAATCGGATAATATTTTTAAAAATAAGTAATGAGTAAAATGCGGCCCAGAAACGTTAACGTTGTCAATGGAGGGTTTCTTCTCCATTTTCTTACTCAAATCATAGGTTTTTTTTATCCCAGTCGCTCGATCAAATTGCCCAATCCTGCTTTCAGCAGAATAATTGCTAGTGCACATTTCATTGTCTATGTTCCAAATGTCGTTTTCACAGTGAAATCATCAGCTCTCATTTACCTTTGCAGGAGCATTTAACAACTAGCATGTGTTTTCAGCAGACCATTATATACATAATAATATACATAAATTAGATATTACTCCACTGTAATTGGTTGATTTCAGTGCAGTTAACCCCAAACAGTGCAATGTTTTGTAATCACAGTGCAATTTTTTGTAATCACAGTGCAATTTTCCGTAATCACAGTGCAAAAATCTGTAAAAAACTTATCTGATTGGTGGAAAAACATTGTGATGAATAAATCAACCAATCAGTTTAAAGCAATTTAGTTTAAAGAAGTAACGGTCACAGATTGCCTCAAAACAAAACAAACATTGCGCCGCGCTACACAATGTAAAAGTTGCCTTCGCGTGGAAAATATGGCTTTTATCTTTATTTTTAAATGGAAAAGCATTTATCTTAAACAAGACTAACAAAAATTACATAGTTGAGTGGAATTTTCAAGCTGTTAGCGTTGTATAATGTGATATAACAAAGCCAGGAAAACTTTGCCAGTGGAATATGTTCGCTAAACGCATAAGATAAAACTACAATTGTCTCGAACATTTTTATGTAAATTATTAATAATTAAGTAATAGCATGGTTTCTCGTGAAATTTGGATATAACATGCACTCGTCCTTCGGACTCGTGCTATTTTGAGGTCTTTGAAAAACTCACTCGTGCATGTTATATCCAAATTGCACTCGAAACCATGCTATTATCTATACTAATTAACTTAAATCTACATTTACATTTTGGATATTAGAACAGTGCTGTCAAATACCTGTTTTTATTTTCGTTATAAATCAATTGCAAAGTTAGTATCATCTAATTTTAGATAAATAGTACAATAACGAAGCTGAACAGTTACAGTGCAAGATTAATATCACTTCCAAAACGCAGTAATTTTTTGTCAGTGGCACGCACCAGATTGCCATGGCTTATGCAAGAGTCATCCGGTTAATATGCATATAGACAACGTTATTGTTATTCAATGGATTTTATATCTGTTTAGAACCAAAATTGTTATGCATCATGGAAAATTAATTTTAGAAGAGGTCGGTCGGGTTAAGATTTTTCCTCTCGCTTTCTTTGTGGTTCCCAACGCCGCCATTAATAATGGTCTGTCCCTTAGACTGGCGCTCAAATACGCGGCAGAATTGCATTTCTGGAAACGCAATAACAAGGTCTTGCCCAATTGTGCCCCAAATCGTTGCCCCCCTGATTTCATAGATAGCGCTTACCCTCTTGTAGAGTTCCGTTGATTGAAGTTTCACCCAGAATGTAGCTGTGTCTTTCACGACCGTAGCAAAGAAAGAAATATTTCCAGAGAGACTCGCTGGAGGTTCCCATTCAAAAGTTACTGTGTTGACGCTTAGTCTGGTACTGTGCGTAAGGGCACCCTGCAAAAACGTACACAAAGATAAACAGGTAAATTAAATTATGTTTGTGATGTTACTCTGAGTGTATATCCAGTATCCACACAGGGCGAGCTTGAAAAATACGCCGGGCCACGGTGGGAATCGAACCTACGACCTTTGGAAATACTAACCCAATGCTCTGCCAACTGAGCGACGCGGTCAGGTCGGTTCGAGTAAGTAATATTTCGGAACAGAATCATATATATCTTACATAAACCAATGCATTACGTAATTACATGTTATAGTGTTCTTTATCCGGTAAAGCAAGACAAATGTGGTTAATTTCGGATCCAATTTCATCCAAATTCAACCAAATATAATTGATTTGTCCTTGGCCTACGGCCATAAGTCCCACAAATGTCCGTATCAGTCCCCGAACCGCAGGGCGAGGGTACTAATTCCGCTCGGCTATTTACACCCGGAGAAAATAAAACAGCGAAGTCTATCGGTCGTCGTGGGCCCGTGACTTTGTTTCATTTGACTCAAACGTATATGGCGCCCAATTTAAGAGTGGAAAGAGCGAGATTTGCGGAACAAAGTAAAATTAAGACATTTTTCATAAAACCGAAATTGATATTTCTTAGTTATCTCCTGCTGACAGACAGTTAGGGGCGGACCATTAGAAATGTGATGAGGGGGTGGGGGAAAAAGCAAAAATAAAAATCGAGCAGGGAAACAGAAAGAAAAAGTAGAGACTTTTTAATAGGAAAAATTATAAGTTGACAGGGCCTATCAGAGGTACAGTGTTAGGGTGGTCCCCAAATTTGGAAAAAAAAATTTGGAACGTTTTTTGATATAAGTAATGGTGTAAGAAAAAATTTTCTAAACCTAAATCTTGCACATATTGGTGCAAAAAAAAGGCTTTAAGCATGTTGTAACAAGATTTTTTCAGGGAAACTTTGTTTTGAACCTTAACTGAACTGATGTTAGTCCGGAAAATTTTTTTTACCCTTTTTTTAAGTCCTGAAAAAAATGTTTACATCAATTACTGCATGTGCATGGTGTTCGCCAAGGATCTAATCTTGGTCCACTGCTCTTTCTAATCTACATAAACGATCTGCCAAACTACATAGAAACAACACAAGCATTAATGTTCGCTGAGTGATGACACTAACTTATTTAGTCGTGGAAATTCAGGAGCAGAAATTGGGAAGAAAATCAACAGAGATCTTAACAACATTCATAATCGGATTACAGCTAACAAACTTACGTTAAATTTAAGGCAAACACAAAACAGAGTATTATGGCTGTTGGATCCCAACAACGACTAGAACAGATAACCGATGTCCCACTTGTCGTGATTGCAGACCACACGATAAAAAGAGTAGCGGGAAAAGATTCTATAGTTATTAATGAAGCATTGAAGTGGCAAGAACACCTTGACGGTCAGTACAAGAAAATTTCAGAAAGCATTGTTCTACTAAGAAGGGCAAAAAATTTCGTAGCACAAAACGTGCCATCGACAATGTACAATTCACTCGTCCTTCCACACTTTACTTACTGTTCTACTTGCTCTGTTTGGCACGATGGCAACGTCTCTCACGCACACAAAAAATTATCTAAACTACTTAAAGGGATGCTCGTGATAACACGTGGTAATTATGAAATTAGATCATCTGAAATTTTGAAGTGGGAACCATTTAAACCATTCTTAAAAAGCGAGAACAGCTATAATAACATTCAAGGCATAAAGGAAAACAACTTCTAAGTACTTATCTTTCGTCATAACATGCTTATAGCCTATGAACTGAGAAACAATGATCGGATGCTTCATTTATATAAGTCACCAACAAACTTTCTAGAACGCAGTTTTTCATATAGAGGAGCGGTATCCTGGAATAGTTTACAACATAACTTACAAATACGAGAGACTCTCTATAGAATTGTTCAAAGGTTGGTTGAATATAAACATCAGGATAACCAAGACAACAACGCGCTTGATCACAAGCTAAACATACTTACACTATTATTACTAAAAATACAAGATACTCCGAAAATTGAAAGCATTTTGAAAATTTATTTCGACGTTTCGACTAAACTATAGTCATCACCAGGAAATGAATGATAAAAAATTCATTTCCTGATGATGACCATATAGTTTAGTCGAATCAAAATACTCAGTGGTTCCCGTAATTTCTATTATTACTATATGTCGATTTAGACAGAGACTATGATGTATACGTATACAGGTATATATAGAAAAGTTATTGTAGGCTATATTTTGAAATATTAATTGTCAATAGCCTAAATAGGTAAAAATATTCTACTTTTGTATACCGCACGGTCCGTTGAAAATCAGGGAACTGAAAGGCCACCGTGTGTCTAAATATGTTTAATAAATAAAAATAATACAATCCAGACGAAAACATACTTTCCTGGTGGAGCTTATATAAGAATCGATCGAATGGCTGGGAGCTGGGCTCATTTTATGAAAAGAGGCATTAGGTAGAGCTAGCAGATGACAAGGATCGAGAAATCCAGCTTTTGGGATGGCTTCAGTTTTAATATATGTCATTGTAGGCACTATATCCGAATTATGCAATATGGATCATTAACACAGGATATACGAAACTCGTGCATGATCACGCATGATATTTTCAGCGTGCTGATGACGTCTCAACTAGCTTGTTGATCCAAAATAATTCCACGTTTAGCAAAATAATAATACAGCGAAGCATTTTAGTAAAAAACAGACGTAAGAATACAGTCATGTCACTCGATCTACAATGGAATATCTATTGTTGGTCATTTCAACAAATCAAGCATATAGACCGTGAAATACGTTTATTGTGAAATATTTTAATTTCGGAGCTAATTGCGTCACAATTTTAATTATATCAACAGTAGTTTCGGGAACGCCAATTTCGTGATTACGAACGTATTTCCGTAACAAACAAAGACGAACAACATTTACCTCGCTGTGTTACAGACCTTTGCTGTGTCACAGACACGGGTTTCAAGACAACTAAAACCATTTTGAATCTCAATATAGCTATTTGAATGTGAAAATTCGTTGATTCGTTCACAGAAAAAAGGCAACCACTTTAGTTTTTTGAAGAGTTCGGCACTGTTCGCTCGCATGTCAGCATCTACTGAATATGACCCTAGCAGCTCGCTTTTGCAGTGGCAAAACCCGTAAATGCTCACGAGAGCACACATGACCAAACAGTTGAGCCAGTGTTGGTAGTGCCAATAATAACAAAACATTGGTTGATAGGGAAGCAACTATCTGGAGTCGGTCGTTCAAAGGTGGATTAGCGCTAACTCTGGTTTAAAATTTAACCTGCTGTTTTAGTTTATGTATTTCTACACGCCTGTTTATTTCAAAACTTCAGAGAAGAAAATGCCTATCGATCCAGAGAAGATCTCTGAAGAAATATTTCCAAATTTATAGACAAGCTGTCAGGAAGTTTGCTTTGAATTTTAGGTTAAGCTAACCCAGCTTTGAACAACCGGCCCTTGAAATATACAAGGAGAAATTCGACGTTAGGATCCAACTTCCCAACGAAGGGTCTCAGCCATATGGTATTTTACTTACATAGTTTACTTACAAGTTAAAAGTTTATGTAAAATGATTAACAGATGCAGTTTCTACCTTGCTATTGCCACAATTTAGGTATTTCCCATCTACGGGGGCTGAGGCAAACATTCCAATCGCCGAGCTTCCTCTTACTTGCCTTGCTTGAATCAGATAGCCTTTGATATTATCACTCTAACTTTCGATGGAAACTCTGACATTTTCTCCTGGCATATAATACGATCTGTTGACCTTAACTTCATATGGACTTGCTCCTGCTTGAGCAACAGGTCCATGATTTGGTGTCATGCTTTCACATTGCGAAGACGGCGCTCCGGAAGGATAACATAGACTTTTGTGGAATAAAATCGAAGTAGAGATTACGAAGACTATAGCTATATTCAGCATTGTGGATGGATCGTCTGTAGCTGCAGTGATTCTACTGTATATATATATATAGCAATAACAAAATAATAATCATCAAGAAGCAACGAGCAGCGAAGGAACAATTAAATATGGTTGATTTATTGAATCGATCAGCATGAAGCTTGTACGCATGCATGCTGAGTCGTCTGTGTTGACATTCTTAGCCTTTTTGTGTGTGTGGATGACTGTTCATAAACTGAAACTGTTTCATAATCTCGTCTATCGCAAATTTTCTTCATCCTAGCTGATTGCAAAATTTGATTGGGAATCCATGCACATGCTATAAATGTATGGAAAGACGGAAAATTTATCGTCTCAAGTCTTTGATTTTAAAACATAACAATTTTAACCGCGCTGTGCATGTGATAATACTAGTTTTCAAAAGCAAATTATGGAACCAAAATATACTGAAGAAAGGCTCAGTTTAAATATAGAAGAACTCGAAATTTTTTTGTGGATTTAAGAATTTATGCTGAAGTAATCAGAATGTTGTAAATTAATCGATAAGGCTAAATTAGGGCCTATCATAAGAGAAATAGAAAACGTTTTTTTTTAATTTGCTGTGCTTCTATGTACAGTTATCTCTATTATCGTTCTCCAACACGTGTTTCTATAAGTGTATAAAATGTTTTCTATTTCTTAAACATGAGACAGCTAGCTAATTATATAAAGCCATTCCCCAACTGCCCGTAGCAAAAATAATTTATTCATGTAATGAAAACAACTGGAGTTCAATATTCTATACATTCTGCATGAAAGGTGTCCTCCAGATGTCTTGCATGAGCTTAATCTAAAGCCTGTTCATTTCCATTAATTATCAAAGCTTCGCAGTTTTGTTAAGATTGATATATTAATTAAAATCTATTACTCTATTATTTATCCATTTCTAATTTATGGAATAATAATCTGGGGTAATACTTACAAGACTAACGTTAAACCTTTGACGGTATTACAAAAAAAAGCTATACGTATTATAACTTTCTCACCCTTCGGAACTCACAGTTCTCCTCTTTTCAAAGAACTCAACTTATTGAAATTTCCTGACATTGTTCAATTTTGTACAGTCCTATTTATGCATCAGTACCATTGTGACACTCTTCCAATTGTTTTTACTGATTTTTTTAAAGAATATAAGCATAATTATAATACGCGGTTGTCATCCAAATCTACTTTTGCTTTGCCAAAAGTACGAACAAATTATGGCATTTTTAATATTAGATAATGTGGTCCAAAGGCATGGAACTCTGTTGATGAATCCTTAAAATTATTAAGTAATAAAACATTTAAAAGACAATTTAAAATATATCTGATAAGTTTATATTAGCTGGTTCCCTAACTCAGATTACTATAATTTAAAAATAACAATTTTGTATTAATAATATGTGTGGCTACCTGCTCGTCTTATTGACCAGATAATTACGTAACATATTTATATATATTTCAATTTAAGTAAAAAACTGAAAGCACTGATATGGAGCAAACTCATGCTAGATAAAGATCTGAGCTATCTTTATCTTCCGTGGATGTAATTATATATAATGGTATCTTTTTTCGTAATTCTGTGTTGTATATGTAAATGTATTATTATACTTTAGCAGATCACCTGTCTCGATTAGCACCTTATGGTTATAATAGGTGATCTTGCACACTGTCTTTTGTAAAACTTTCTTTTTTTCCTTTTATTAATTGTATTTTTCGTTATGTAATTTATGTGCAATAAGATTATTATTATTATTATTATTAATATAGCCGAATGCCATGCAGTGACAAACGAAAAAGTCACTTTGTGTGCGAACAAATTCACCTACTTGTCTATTGAACCTACTTTAAATTGAAATACTTAAATTAATGTGAAACTATATATATACCGAACTGCACCACTGGCATTGCTTCCAAAGATCACAAAACTAATACGGAATTTGTCGGCGTTTCGTTCTTGTTTTTTTTTTTTTTTTTCAGATATTGAATTCTACAATATTAATTTTATATTAATTCATATAGAACAGTTTTGTAAAAACTTGTCGCGAACGTTTTAAAGTTCAATACGAGATATTGCCCAAAATTAAGTTCATTAAGTTTTTTACAGCCAAATTTTTGACACTCAGTTGCTAAGCACCATTAAAATCAGTGCGGCAATATAATAAACGACAGGCAACATAATGTCGGATTTCTTAACTTGCGTTCGAAATAGATGTAAACCAAACTTTCTTCACATTTCAAAAAAGAAGAGAGTTTACTATATTTAAACAAA